ATCAGCTGCTGGTACTCGATCATCATCATCTTCTTTATCTTCATCCGCACCAGGAACTTCATCAACATGAACATCATCTTCTGGATCCTCTTCGCGGATGGATTGTTCGTAGTCATCATCATCATCGAGCTCTTCACCAGCTGCTACAGGAGTCGTCTTTCGTTTGGGACGCTTCTTTCTCTTCGTCTTCCTCAGAGACTCCGTTGGCCCGTCGACGTACGTACCAACTTCATCATCTGATTCATCACCGCTCTCACCATCAAGATATATCGTCCTCGATGCATGGTTGTTGCCACCGAGACCCAACACTTTCATCACTAGCTCGGCCTCGTGGTCTGGTGCAGGCCTGTAGTCCTTGGCTCCAAGGTAGACATATGGGATGAGATCATGAACTTCCATCTTGATCTTGTCACCCTCGGAGTTGATCATGTAGGGTTCTCTTCCATTAGGCCACACAAACGTATAACCTTGTTCCATGCATCGTTTTCCCAATGACAAAACAGATGGGGTGTCCTCCAACACATGAGCCCTTGCAGGTTCATTGAATGTGTCGAAGTCTAAGTCCACCATCGTAGATGTGGATGTGATGCCATTTGCTGTGTGGAAGTTGACTCTGTCGCTCTGGTATGTGTCAATGTCCATCCTATCCACTCTAGTAGATGAGATAAGATCATGACCTCTACCAGAGTCCATGATGAAACGTCGGTCCTTGAGCTCAATCGGCATAGTGATGCACATGACATTGTCACGACGACCATATTGCCCTGGAACATGAGGGATCACTTCCTCATAGCATATTTCAGCTCGAGGGTTATTCTCCAAGAAATCAATGTCGTTGATCTTGAGCTTGATATCATTCTTGGGTCCCAGGATGACATGTACTTCGTCAACATCAGAAAATTCACCATGGTCATCCATCAGTATGCCAATTGCACGTGCTCTTGTCATCCCCAACTTGGATTGCAGTACCCATTGTTGGTCATCCATGATTTCTTTGGTAGTTCTGCACGTGATTTCTTCTGAGCTCTAGACATGTTTCTCTTTGGCTTCCTGTTGGAACATTCCACAAAGTCAGGCTTCACATAGGCTTCACATAGGCTTCACATACACGATGGTTTCCACCTTGCCATTGAACTTGACATTCATCTTGTTCTTCCTCTCGATGGGCACTGCGTTCACGATGAAGTCATCATCGTACTCACGGACCAACGCGGGAGTAGCTTTGGCGTCGGACGACTTCGTCGAAGGTGCCGCCCTCTTGCCCTTCATACTCGGATCATGCTTGAAGGTACACTTGTCTCCTTTCTGACAATCGCCTTTTAGCCACCCACAGCAATGTCGATCCTTCTTTCCACCAGGAGTTTGCGATCTTCTTGGAGTAGCCGATCTACTGTTCTTGCCTTTACCACCTTTGTCCTTCCTCTTGTCCCAATGATATTGGGAATGACTGTATTGGCACTTGTCACCATGTTTGCAGTTGCCCTTGTTGAAGTGGAAGTGACAGAAGGTCTTCGATGTATCTCGTGTAGAAGGCGATCTTGATCTCTTGCCACCTTTGCCTCTTCCCTTGCCATGGCTCTTAGGAGTGCCGGAAGGTAGTACAGGAGCTCCAGGCTTACCTTTAGGTGCTGGTGCGCTCGGCTTTCCGGTCTTACCATCTTTCGGCGTAGGTGTAGGAGCCGTTGGTTTTGGAGCTGGGGTAGAAGGCTTACCAAGATTGGTGTAGTCCGTGGCAAACTTGTCCCTGGCCGCAATGTTCCGATCCTCACGTGCACGAGCTATGTGCCCCCTCATAATCTCCAAAAGCTCATTGTAGGACTTCTTCTTATCATCATTGTCCCTACCCTTGAAGATAGTGAGGTCGACATGCAATGCCTGGGAACCATCGATCTTCCTCAGCAAATGATCACGTAGTGTGTTGTCAGATGGGATGTCCTCAGCTTTCATGTTGGCGATGATCTCAATCCAAGCATGAAGGAACTTATCCATCTCTTTGTCACCACGATACTGCAACTTGTAGATGTGGCTGGCATTGAACAATACTTCATCTTTCGATGTTGTTCTGAAATGATCTAACACCATTGCTAATATTTCTCTGCCCATCAGGAAATTCCCTTCTTTTCCCAGAACTTGACTCCTCTGTCTAATCCGGACCTTGACCTCTGATGCTGTTTCACCAGCGGAGTCCACCATGTTCTGCAAGGCAATGGACAGCTTTGAGTCGATGGACTGGAAGCGGAATTCACCTGAGTCGGCGAGTTCAGCATAGTCGGGACTGGGTAGTAAAGCAGGAGATAACCATCTTCTCCATGCAGCCGTGTCAGGATCACCTGATGCAACACATACAGCTTGCACGACGTTTGAGCGCCATACATCAAGATCTTGACATTTAGGCCACGGCTTGACGATGACCTTCTCGTGCTCTTTTCTTGATATTCTAGTTACCCAATCTTTGCCATCTTGACCAGCATCACTGTTTGCAACACTAGCATCCTTGCCATCTTTCCGTTCCCAAAGTCCAGGAGGATTATCAGGAACGGGATCGTACTCGGGGGCTTTGCTGTCTTTCAAAGATTCTTGCCCTTCTTCAACTTGCTCCAGCCAACTCTGGTACTCTTTCATCTCGTCATAGTTCTGTTGAGCTCGTTCTTCAGATCGACGAAGTTTCTCACGAAGGTCATCGACCTCACTGTTGGTCTGGTTGTTGATGGCATTATTCACACTAGGTGAAGGTGGTAGTGGTAGAGCAGGATCATGATTCTTCGTTGTAGAGGATGCCTTGGGCGTACCCATAGGTGTTGAAATCGATATTGCAAATGATGGAGTCTTGCCAGTAGGCGTAGTCGTTCTCGGAGCTAGGCTTGTTGGAGGCACGGCTGATGGTGAAGCTGGTACCGCGGCCCTGGTTGCTACTCTGCTCCATGACGCTGGCATCGAACCCATAGTCCGCTTTGCATCGTGGAGTGATTGCTTCAGTGAGTCATTCTTTCTGATCACATGGTCACGTTTAGAGCAGGCCGACTGGTATAGCTTCTTGTATCTGTCTGCCTCCGCCTCTTCAGCGTCGATGAGTGCCTCAGTGAGCTTTGGATTGCTTTCAACTGCTTCTTGAAGTCGACTGATCTCCATGTTGGCTTTGCGAAGCTCCTCAGGTAGTTCTTCGTTCACCTTGGCATTGTCTTCATCGCTACCAGCATGAAATCGAGATCCAAGAAGTTCAGCAACCCGTGTTCTCAACTGGTTGTTGGACTCAATCAAAGCCATGTTCTCATCCATGAGCTCGTCCTTGACACGCTCAATGGTGACTTCCCTGTCCTTGAATGCACTTAGTTCATCATGCTTGAACTGGCGAAACTCGTTCTTCTCATCAATGAATCGATTTGTATACCATTCTCTGGTAGCACTCTCGTTCTCATTCATTCTCATGAGGCTTCTGACCTCTACCTCGAGCTCATTGTGCTTCCGGTTATACTCTTCCTCCCTTTCCTGAATCATGTTCTTCATGTCACGGATCTTCATGAAGTGATCGTGATTTGCACTATCCCTGATGGCAATGAGGAATCGATTTGTATACCATTCTCTGGTAGCACTCTCGTTCTCATTCATTCTCATGAGGCTTCTGACCTCTACCTCGAGCTCATTGTGCTTCCGGTTATACTCTTCCTCCCTTTCCTGAATCATGTTCTTCATGTCACGGATCTTCATGAAGTGATCGTGATTTGCACTATCCCTGATGGCAATGAGGTTGTCCTTGTGCGACAAACTAGCAGTTAGTTCGTCAATAGTCGACTGCATCTCTGCCATCTGTTCATCACGTATCGCAACAGCTTGTTGGCCATATTCCATGATCATCTCATTGCTGTCAACCATCATCTGTGATCTCTCTGATAGTTTCAGTTTCAATTGCTCCATTTCTTCCTTGCTCGCATTCTCCCTATCTTGAACATACTGTGTACATGCTTCACGCAGTTGTAGCCCATCTTGACGAAAATGAACTGTCATAGCTTCAGATGTTTCATGTTGTTGACGGATGAATTGTGATGCGTTCTCTAATTCACTGAGATACTTTCCCCTCATCTCCATACTCTCCCGAACAATGTGTGCCGCACCTGCTTCTGCGAGTTGGCCACGCTTGTCCAGTTCGATGATCCTCATAGTTGAACCTTCGTCCAGGAGGTGCGCCTCAGCTAGTGCGATCGTCTGTTCTTCAAGTACGTTGTGTACGTCGATGAGGGAGACTCTCATGAACTCCATTTCAGAATTGACATGTTCCTGATATTCTTCATGATGTTGATGTGAATAGATCTCCATGTTGTTAATCATCTGATCACGCTGTGCAAGGACATCTTGATATAGACTTAGTCTGTTTTCCAGTTCAGTCCTTGCCCGTTCACTCCTCTCCAGCTTCTCGGTATTGTGTTGTAGTTGGCGTCGAAGACGCGCCTCGCTCTCATTCCTCGTAGCGCTGGTCGATGGCTTGCGTTTGGATGAGGTGGCAGCCTTGCCCGCCTCATCCTCCCGCGTGGCCGTGCCCGACGGGCTCCGGCCACCGTTGCCATCTTCCGCAATGCGAGATCTTGGTGCGCGAGGAGATCTTGCCGATGTTGATCTTCTGGCACTTCCTCCTCGAACTACATCAGCTGGATTGACCACTGTGAAGCTGCTTGTTGATGCTATGCTTCCAGCTGCACGGTACGACACCGTGCCACCGCCGCCGCTCTCTTGGGATCCAGGCGTGTCATTGATCGCCTGAGCAGGAGCAGCATTCACCCCGAAGGAGAAGTTCGTGTCATTGCTGCTCGACTGGTTCTTCTGCGACATCTTCGTGTTGTCGGTCCACCTCCGTTTACTCCAAGGTCAATGACTTGTAGTAGGTCAGGAGGGCCGGGATGCCGAAGAGGTTGAAGAGTACTGTGGGACCACCGTACGCTCAGCGTGAGCGTACGGCTGATAACCTGTGAAAGGTCTGTGCCTTACTCGATTCCGTGTAATTAGTCTCCTCAACCTCCGCATAGATGATAAAGGGAATCTCTATCGCAGCAGCAGTGCTCCTTTTTAGGCTGAGCGAGCTGGCGGTCGTCTGGAGCCGTGAGTGGCCCCTTGAGCCGAGCAACGGCGGCAATGCGGAGCATATGACGGCTGAATTGAAAGGTTGCTGTCATGCACGTTCCAATCATATTATATATATATATGTTTGCAACTGCATTTGATGTGCAAGGTGTAGCAGCAGCTCTGGTGCAACTTTTTCCATCGCTCCCATGAAGGTTAGGAGGTAGCTGCAACTGCAAAAGGATGTCGCCATAGCGCTCGACAAAGAGGAGGTCGAAGATGGTGACAAACAAGCAGCTGGGCCAAGATTTTCTGGCACCATTACGTTGAAAACATTCAGGGCATGTTTGCAACTGCATTTGATGTGCAAGGTGTAGCAGCAGCTCTGGTGCAACTTTTTCCATCGCTCCCATAAAGGTTAGGAGGTAGCTGCAACTGCAAAAGGATGTCGCCATAGCGCTCGACAAAGAGGAGGTCGAAGATGGTGACAAACAAGCAGCTGCCCAGCTTCCAAGGTAAAATGCCAGCTATGGCCGTTGTCCGCTTCAAGGGAGCACCGTCCAGGTCACGTCATGACGAGTGCAGACTAAGGCTCTGCGTTTGTCTCATCCCCGGGTTGAGGTGTACACCAGGCAAGGAAAAACTGAAGCCGTATCTTTCAAGAAAACTCTGGCACCTTCAGGAAGGTCAGCAAGGGCATTCATGGCAGCAACTTCTTGTAGATATGACTCCAGCGTAACCTGCGACCGAAGTCTCATCAACCATAGTAAATCTGCTATAGGGCGCCCTTGCTTATAGTGCATGACAGCTGCTCCTCCACGAAGACCGCCAGGAGTTAAACCACAGGAAGTAGGAAAACCTAGGTCTTGAAGGAGAACGTTCCAAAGCTTCCGGTAGTAGTAAGCAGTCTGTGGAAAGAGAAGAACATCATATGGGAGCAGCTTGAAAACACATTGAATGAGCTTGACGGCGATCGGCTCACTCACTTTCATATGCTGAACACTTGCCGCAACTCTCTGAAGGCTTTTGAACCTCCGCAGCTGAAGGAAAACGACAGGAGTGGCTTCGCAAAGGTCATCAGGCAGCAGCAAGTCACTTCTTCTGCAGTTTATCACTTCTCCCAAGCGACCAGCACCATAGAAAGCTAGCAACGTTATGCCAACCCAACTATACCAGCCTCTGAACCAAGCTAAGCTGCACATTGCCTTGACAAGAACTTCAGGAACAGGAGTCCTGTGAACAACAGGGCTTTGCATCTCCCAACGATCCACAAGCTCCCAGGCGACCTGCATGAAAGGCTTGGCACCCTGGCACCAGCGCTGCGCTGGAGCGCCATGGGTTTTGACCTTTGAGTGGAAGAGATCAGCATCTGAGAATCTGCTGCAACCTGAACTCAGGGAGAAGATAGAGAAGATGTTGCGTGGAGGTGCCTTCCGTGCAATGGGAGCTGCCCCTATTTGCTCAAGTTTCTCTATAGCAGTGACACCACCAGTTCGGAGCTCCAAGTTCCCTAGAGAGATACCTGGCATGCGAAAAGGGATGCGGAAGAAAGTCTCCGAAGGAAACTCTCACAATGACTGGCTTGCTGGTATGGTTGCGCTGTGTGAGGAACTACAGCTGCTTTGGTGGGTTGAAAACCCTGACACTTCTTGGTGGTGGAGACAGCAAAGGTGGCGACGGTTTCGTGACTCAAGAGGACGCAAACTTTTCCGCCTGTGTTTTTGCAGGTTTGGCTGCAAGTGGAAAAAGCCCACTCGCATTGCAACCAATACCTCGCTAGCTGGGGTTAGGATGTGGTGCACATGTACTCAAAAGCATTTGCAGCTGAGAGGGACTTGTCGCGCCAAGGGCGTTCCCTGGACACAAGTTGCTGAACCATACCCTGGAGGTCTTGGCAGAATGCTTGCGGCAGCCGTCTCGACGGGAGTTGGATGGGCGTTGAAGAGGGGCTTGAACGTAGCTGAATGTGCCAAGACCGGCACGCTCCGAGTTGGAGAAGCAAAAAACCCCGGACCTAGGCCTGCAAAGTCTCGCCATGCTTTTTCGCTGGAAGAAGTGAACACTGTTAGTGCTGCAACTCTGGCGATAGAAAGTAGGGTTCTTCAGCAGTTTTTTGCATGGTGCACTGCCTCAACTGGAGATGCAAACTTCAAGGATGTTTTCACAAAAGTCCCGGCAGCATTGCCACATTGTCTGCGGTGCTATGGGGACCTGCTTTTTCAACGTGGTGGGTCACTGTTTAACTTCAGGCACTTGCTGCTTGATGAGCTGCTTTGCCACACCGGCTCGGCCGCTGAAAAGATCAAGAGCACCAGGTCGTGAAAGGTCAGGCTTCTCACCAGCGAAGACAAACTGCGAAAGGTCGAAGGACTGCAGGATAGCATAGGCCTCCGGCTCATAGTCGCACGGTCTCTCCGTTTTCATTGAAGCATCTGCTCTCTGGGCTATCTCAGGGTGGACAAGCATTGCGTCAGGGCGGTTGGTCTTGTCCAGCTCTCTCTCCGGCAAGCTTTTTCTCAGTTGCTGCTGTGGTCTGAGGTCAATGGCTTCACCTCCACAAAGTTCACCAAAGTCAACTCCGGCATAATCTTTGGGAGCGCCATGCATCATCAGCCACTGGTCAAAGTCAAAACTGCGGCCATCGCAAACTTCTGACCACCATCCTGGAAGGGGAACTGAAGGCTCACGCAAGAGTTGATCGCGGGTGGGATCATCAGCTGGATTGAGCTTGGTGTCAAAGTACATGTGGTAGTCAGAGACATCCGAGCCAAAATGGTGACCGAGCGACCTCTGCAGCTCACTGTTCAGGGCACGACTTGACGACCTACCTTTCACCAGAGACCCAAGCGCTGCTTGACTCTCAAGCTCGGAGAGCACCCGTAGTGACGTGCCGCGGTTTGCAATACGCTTCTCGTGCTTCAGGTAGGCACGCAGTTCCAGCACATTGATGTGCAGAGGCTTGGACACCCTCTCACGCCAAACTTCACAAAAAGGCAGTGCTTTTGCTAAAAGGTTCCACAGTGGGTGGCCCTTGAGCTTGTCACCCGGAACTTCATCTGAGGGGTCTAAAAGCCCATGCAGCCTATCTCGGGCTTTTGACGGCGGCAGCAACTTAGTCCATGTCCCTTTTCGCAAGCAATGCCTTGACACTTCTCGCAGGACCTTTTCTGGACATTCAGCAGCAACCCCAGCCATGCAGTCACCAGAGGCGTCTGTGGCAACGATCTGGCAGTAGAAGTCAGCTCTCAAGTTGACCACGGCCAGGGAACCAACCACCACCAAGGCTTCTAGCTCGCTCACCAGCCCAGGCGACAGTCGTAAAACTATCTTCTGGTCAGCAATGCACAAGGGCTCGAAGATGATGTCCATCACAGAGTAGAGCCGCCGCCTGATGCCCAGTATGGACACCCAAGAACCAGCAATGGCCTCCAAAAGGCCGACGCTGGCCAAACCCAAAGATGCGACCCTCATCGTAATGAAGGCTTGTGGCCACATCCTCAAGGTCGAACTGCGCAACAGTCCCTTTTCACCATCAAGCTCCAGCCCCAAAAGCGGGCACCAACTTCCTTGACAAAGCCTTTGGCGGGGTTGTTGATCAAGTTCGTGGCATCATAGGCTTCTCTCGCTGCACCAATCCGAGACTCGGATTCAGTCAGGGCACCCTCGTCAAAGGATGCTCTGGTGATGCGCTCCAGCACAATGAGGTCATCCACAATGACTCCCACCTGGAGAAGCCCTCTAGGGATAGAACCTTGCAAGGTCAGCATTTCATCAGGATGAGCGACCCTGTATCGCAAACAGAGGCCAATATGACTGGCTTGCGCGAACTCAACTGCAAGGGTGTCACCCATAGCTAAGGGTTTCTAGTCCAAGCCAAACAGGGTCCTCACTCCACTGAAAGTTCGGGCCGAAGATCTCTCTGGCTTCGGACTGCTGAACGGGCACGGCCAAGGCATTCTTGCTGCATCTCTCCTCCCCAACAACAAACTGGTAGAAGTAGTCCTTCAAATCCTCGCCAGAAGCAACCAAAACTTCGTCAGGTTGAAGGTGAAGATACGCCAGTGTCATTCCTGATGCCATAGTCTGAGACCACTTTTGTTGCCCTTTGCTAAGCATGTTAGCTGGCCTTGCATCCGAATCCAAGATCATGCGATCTCGGTTCTGATCTTTGACAACGGCAAAAAGCCCTGAAGTGAAGCCCGCATGGAAGGTGTCTTTGCTGACAGGTTTAAGCCTGCCAGAATCTGCCAATTTCTTGTAGAGCTTCAACCTCTCTGAGTGCGTTGCCCGCTCGGTGACTCGAGGAGGGTCCTCGTCCAGTTCCTCAGGCTTTCGACCATGGGTGATCGGCTTCTCATAGCGGTCCAAAGTCTCATGGTCGAAGAAAGGCCTTGGGTCAAAGGCAGGAGGCGGAGGGAAGGTCAATCTATTGGCAACCAACGGCTTTGCAGTGACCACCGGATCTTTGTCGAGCCTTCCCTCAAACTGCCCAGCTCTGAGTGGCAAAATGCCCTCAGAGGCACCAGTCTTGCTGGGCTTCAGAAAAAAATATCCACCACGTTCACAGTGAAGAGCAACAGCCGCTCGAGCCAGCACATCTATGCAGTCTTGGAAGTCCTCGACCTTGCTGGCACTTCGACCCATGTCAGTGGCAGAAACGAATTCAGCAAAGTTACGATCCACAGCCAAGTGTTCCAACATCTTTACAGCGGTCCACTGCCTAGCTGTCAACCTCGTACCTAATCTCAAGGAAGTAGGGGCCACCTCAGCGCGACCCAGCATCAACCAATTGAGCACTGCTACCTGAAGGCAAACCAAACGTTTCAAATGAGCATCAGGAACATGGGAACAAGCTCCACGTTTGAAGACCTCAGGGTATGGCAGAGGGCAGGGCCAGGTAGTGATTCCACCTGGCGTGGACGTGCATGACATCTCGTCAGCGGGGTTCTGCACGATGGACCGCAAAAAAAAGTCGTAGGCTCCCTTTGGTCTTCAGAAGCAAACGAGGCAGCGAGTTCAAAAAACCTGGGACACTGTAGTGGCAGCGCCGGCACCAGGCAACTTCAAATCTACGTTCAAAGGAGGCACCGTGCCGCTGCCGCCCTCATCACGAGAGCTCAAGCATCCCCGGCCTTCTCGGCCGCTGTACTTGCCTTGGCCTTCGGCTTGGCCTTTGGTCTCCGCCTGCTTTCCCAAGAAGAAGACTCTTCGTTCTCCTCCGTGTTCTTGTTGCTCTGCTTGCCTATGTTCCTCCGCTTCGTGACAAACTCTTCTTGGTCTCGCAGGTGTCCAAGGATCACTTCTGCCCACCTCGCATCCAGGAGCCGTGAAAAGGGCGACTCTCCGTCTTGGACATTGGGCCCTTGATGGCTTGCAAGAGCCGTCATCGGCGGGCTTTGCTCCAGGCTCAACTCCGCTGCAAGCGTCCAATTGCCGCGGTCTATTGCGGCTTGGTCCAGTTGAAGAAGCCCCAGACATGCTCGAGCACGAGCGAGGTCGTAACGACCGGCCACCATGGCGTCCAAGATGCCCGCAAAGCACCAGGCGCAATGGGCTCCAGTCTTGTAGCTCGTGATCCTCGACCGGAACTCGACCCAAGCTCGTGCATTGAGCCCAAGCGGCTGCTGGCCCGGTCCAAGAGTCTGTGAAGCCAAGTCCTCGTACATAAACTTCTCGATGTTGTTGTAGATCTCCTCCGGGTGCTCCAAAAAGGTTGAACGCAGCGCCCTTCTTGCTGCAGCTGTCTTCTTCCCGGCTCCCAGTGAGAGGCCATCTGACGATGACGACCCCTGAGCAGAGTCCAAGGCAATGTCCAGCTTCGGTGTGCCCTTGGCCTTCTTCTTGTCCTCGGCAAGCAATGACACGATGTCCGTGAGCTTTGACAACGTAGCGGCCAAAGGGTTGCCTGGCGGTGGAGATCCAGATTCTCCTGGCCCTACTACTTCCACCAAGCCCTCTTCTTCGTGTTCTGAAAGGGGATCAAAAACCACATCCTTGTTCGGCTCGATAGCCTTCTTCGCCTTTGTGTTCTGCGAGATCAGCTTCTCCATCTGCGCAAGACTGTGTGCGGGTACTCCAGCTTGAAGTGCTGCTTGAACAACTCCTTGGTCTAGTGTCGGGAACTGCACCCTCGGCATTGATGTAGTGACAGGGGCCTGCCCTGGCTTCCGTAGAGCCAGCGGCCTGGTGACAGCTCTCGGGGCTGGCCCCGTCTGATTCTGCGCTTGCCGCTCTTGACTCCTTTCTCCCAAAAGCTGACTCATGCCTTCTGCAAGCTTCTGCATCGTGGCTTCCATAGTGCCGACTCGTTGTTGCAGGTCTGCCAACCCAAATTCTCCTTGTCCTTCAGCGCCGTCTTGAAGATCCTCCTCTGCAGAAAAGAACGCAAAGTGCTCGTTGGCTGCTGCTACCAAACTCTCCGGCGCTGGAATCAAAATGACGTCCCCAACCTTGCCAAAGGTGAAGTCGCAGTCGTCCTAGTGCTCCAGCGGCTGGAGATGGTTAATCAACTCCGGCTTGAGGAACCCCACCCAACACTTGATGAAAAACTCGGGCTCCATGACATCCTTGGAGTCTGCAGCAGCTGCTAAGACTTCCACCGCTGTAGCCTTGCTCAAAGCCCCCATCCGCATGCTCCTCTTCGAAGTAGTGCGGTGCCATGCTTGATGAGGCACTGCAACCAAAATCTTCTCGTCAAGCTTCGCAACCAAAAGTAAAGGGAAAGCGACGTCACCACTGTCAAGGTCGTCAAAGTAAATGTGCACAACAAATTCAGGATTGGCCCCCTTGTCGTCGATGACGTAAGGGGAAATAGAGGGGCCCTCCTCCGGCGCCACAACAGCCTCCTCTTCAGCCATCACTGTTCCAGATGGGCAGGCCACTGAAGGTCTGCCACTGAAACAGCTCGTCTGCTTGCGGGCCTCTCTGGTTCTGCTGAACTATACCCTGACCTCCTTGAGTCTCGTGTCTCTGACCTGCTGTCTCTGACGTCTCGTGCTCCTTGTCGAGGTGCGCGGCTATCTGCTGCACTAACCAAGGAGTAGGGATCCTCAGAGTAGCGATCTTCTCGCTCACTGTCAGACTGACTTCTAGACCTCCTCACCTCTCGCCGCAGCCGCGACACCTCAAGCCTTAGCTCGTCCAACTGCTCTCGTAATTCGCTGATCTCCTCTTCGATGTCAGCGATGCGGCCACCACTCATCAAAGGAGCTTGTAGGGCTCCTTCCGCTTCGGCGGGGTCGGTGGGCCAGTCCCTCGGCTAACCCACTGGATGAAAGCCCAGCGCAATGTGACAACCCACTCAATCGCAGAGTAGGCCCAGGCTGAAGGACCAGAAGTCAAACCTGGCAGCGTCGGTTGACCTGTAGAGATCAACCAATGAGCGCTGGTCGAAGGCCAGCAGCTTAAGAGCCAGTGCAAGGCTAGACCCGGCCAAAACCCCAGCAGTGAGTGGCCGGTAGCTCATACAGCTTACTTAAGCCAAGATTTTCTGGCACCATTACGTTGAAAACATTCAGGGCGTATATATGTTTTCAGAAAAGAACACGTGATTGACAAAACACATTTATTTTTTGAAGGTGCAAAAAAAAAATATTTTGGGAATTTATATACTTCTATTGGGAACTTGTATTAATGGGAACATGTTTTTTTTTTTCGGGGTGTGCAGTAGTTTGTTTAAGAGCAATCCTTCTTTGGGGAACTTGCTGTTATTGGGAACTTGTGTTGGGATTGTCTTTTTTGTGTGTGTAGTAATTTGTTTAAGAGCCTTTTCTTGGGAACTTGCTTCTGTTGTTGATTTTTTTGGGGTAATTTATTTGCGTAGCAGTCTGTTTAGAAGCCTTCTGTTGGAAATTTCTTCTGGAAAAAATAAGTTTAGTGTTTTTTTGGGGTCTTCTCTTGGGAAATTTGGATTCATAGAATATCTGGATGGTGTGGTTTGCTTTTTCCTATATATATTTTTCTGTTCATATGTTTTTTATTTTTCAGATATACACTATTTTGTTTTCTGGAATGCCTATTAATCCATTTGGTTCAAGAAAATAGCTAGAAAAAATAAAGTACAAAATGCATTGCTTTTTAAATAATCAGTTTTGTCGGTTACATGTCCTTTGGCAAAGGGGTTTTGATCGGTAGGAAATTTAAAAAAAAACCTTAGATTCTTTTCTGTGAAACATGTTGGCATGTCAAATTGGCAATTGTTTTCATTTTTTGATTTGATATTTGATTCTCATAAAACCAGAAGCCAATGAAATCATATTTAACCTCTCTATCACAGCAAGTTTAAAAAACAAACTGTATATACAATAAAAAATATTTCTTTAACATAATTGGAAATAGTTATATTGAAATATATTTTCATTTTGAAAAACAATGAAAAAATAAGCAGAATTAGAACTTGATCAAATTTGATCAAATTTGATCAAAATCAAAGTTTTGATCAAATTTGATCAAACTTGATATTATAGGATGCTTAAGGGGGGGATGGAAGGGAGGGGATGAATATGTATCCCTAGTGCTGCTAGATCCATCCCCATTCCTTCTATAGAGCTCCCTAGCAGTGCTAACAGTAAGGGCCCTTAAGGAATACCAAAGGGTCTGGAGAGGTCCCTAGCACTCCTGGTTTATACATGTTTTTGGCAGTAACCAAGAATGAACAATTAAGGGAATATGATTTGGAACCGGCAAAAAACTTCATTGGGGTCCCGTGATTTTTTATGTGTCACCGAGCTTAATCCGCTGGGGGCCATGATTCTTCATTCAGCCCACCCCATTCCAAGCACGGATAGGGTATAGTAGTGCAGACTTACCCGAAAAAACCGCAATAAATTTGCACAAATTACGAAAAACTCTGGTTTTTGTACGTTTTCTGGGTGGCTAGGGAGCTCCCTAGCACTCTTGGGGAGGCTTAGGGAGGCTTAGGGAGCTCCCTAGCACTCCCAAGCAATCCCTTTACTGGGGGCCTCTAGAGAAGGATTCGGTCTCTGGGAACCCGTCATCTCTTGTCAAGTACAAGATGCGCTTGGCATTGTCGAAGTTGAGCTAGGATGTTCAGAGTCCGTTTCACACCCTGTCTTTCCAATATGGAAACCAGCACACATTTTGGGAAATTACCAAAAGAAAAGTGTTTGCTCACCTTGAGATGTCAGCTTAAGATGTGGGATTCGTTGAGCATCTAAGAGTTGGTAACTGTTGGTAAGTTAAAGGAGAAGGTTCTCATTCCAGCCTAAGCTCCCCAAAGCCCCCTAAGCCACCCCCCCTTGGACCCCCCCATTTTTTCCAAAAATTAAAAAAATAAAAGTATCAAAGTTAAATATTATTTGTTTCAAATATTTAAATTTGAAAAAATGCATTATAAATATAAATAAATATGTATAAATGTAGTTCATGTTTTGCAAAACAAATGTGGTTCAATGAGTTGTTTTTAAATTATCAAAAATGTTTGCAATATTTTATTATTGTTCATTTTAGTGCAATTAAAAACTGTGGAATAACACATAGAATATGTATAATTATGTTTTTAGCTTTGATTTTACTAAAACATTTAAATTTATAAATGTATTTAGTTCAAAATGTCTAAATGATAAACATACTGTACTGTATATGATATATGGTTCAATCATAATAAAGATATAGAATTCCATGTTTTTATTAGCAAAATATGTTTTCAAACACACATATATATATATATATAAATGAATTACAATATATGAAACATGTCAGAAATTTGATTTGCAAATATTGTGTGGATTTTTTAAACATAAGTTTGCCTTGTTGCCATTGAAACATTAAAAACGGCTAATGATTTAGTGCGTGTGTTTTCATGTATTTTGCCAAATTTCAATAATGTAGATATTTTGTGAAAACTATTTGTTTTTCACATGTGGCTCCAATGTCCAAAACAAAAACAACAAAAACAACAAAAACATTAACAGTTGGTTAGTTTTCAAAGCATGACGTGTTTTTCAAACATAGCCAAAAACATGTTTTGCACCTGCAGCTCTTTTTGGAACAAAGCAACTTGAAAACAAAAGTGCTTTTGGGCTTGGAAAAGTCACATTTTTTCGGTGTCAAGTGGTACTATGGCACCAAAAAAAGTTATGAAAACAATGAAGAAGAAAGGACTGGGAAAAGTCTCCCAAGAGGAGAGGCTTGGAAAAGTCGTCCATCCAGACAGGCTTGGAAAAGTCACCTGGAAGAAAGGGCTTGGAAAAGTCCATGAAGAAGCCTAGCTGCAATGATGGAGGTGGTTTGAAAAAGCCAGGAACCATCAAAGACAAGGTGAAAGCTGCAGCTGCGGAGGCTGAAGGTGATGCAGACCAGGGTGCTGCAATCTTGCAAGATCTCGGTCCAGCTTGATAAGAGCAAACTCTGGGCCAAGCACCAGGCATCCCTCAAAGGGAACAAGGCCTTGGAAAAGGCCCATGCCCAACTTGGCAAGAAGGAGAAGGGAATTGCTGCTTGGAAATCGCTCTTGGAAAAGGAAGCCAAGCAGTTTCTCCAAGCCTCCAGCAAAATTTTCTGTGGGAGAAGTTGTCACAAAGACCGATGACTGGAAAACCGAACACCAGATACTCAACAGGTACACCCCAGATGAGCTGGAGATGCATCTCCGGTCTGGAAAAGTGATCTGGAGAGAGTGCCCCTACACCTGGTACCTTTGAGTACACCTGGTACCTTTGAGTGCAAAGATACCCAGAATTGGCACAGAGCAGTCAACACAAGCAGGCAGAAGGAATGGCAGAGTGGTGTTGAATTTGTGCCTGAGGATGAGGACTTGGACAAGTTCATGGAGCTCTTCAACTCTGACTGCCATTCCTTGTCTGTGGGTGAAGGCCTTGGAAAAGGTAGTGCCAAGGGCCTTGGAAAAGGCCAGAGGACCCTTGGAAAAGGCAGAGGCAGAGGCACAGGCAAATCCACCAAGGAGGGGGATGAGGACAAGGATGAGCCCCATGAGAAGCTTGCCAAGGCTTGCAGAAATGCCAGGTACATGGTGTCTGCAACTCAACCATGTCAGACTTGGAAGAAGCTTTGGAAAAAGCAGGTTCCAAGCTGAGCAAAGCAGGCAAGACCACAGCCAATGATCTGAGCAAGAAACTTGGAAAAGCTTTGCAGCAGATCAAGACCTTGCTGACTGGAAAGTCAAAGCTGCAAGATGACGCAGTGAAGGGGCAGCTGATGGAGGTGGCTCAAGTTGTCAAGACTGCCAAGCATAAAACTAAGAAGCTGCTGGTTTTGGGGGGTGCCTCCTCCTCCTCCTGCTCCTCCTCCTCCTCCAAAGCCAAGTGATCTTGGAAAAGGTCCCTCAGTTGGACGATGGTTGGAAAATGCCTTTGGTGACAGAAAGCACACAGCTGGTCTTGGAAAAGGCACCACTGAGAGGGCAAACTACATGGGCCACACAGTGACTTTACTTGGAAAAGTTTCATGCACACCAGTCTTCACGCAAAGAACCATTTGTTGTTTCCCAGCTGTGGCCCATGGCAGCCTGACCTCTAATACAGAGGTTGGTGGCATATTATAGACTTATAGAGGCACTTGCTGGAAAAATGAATGCCCACTGGGGCTATAGGGAAGGTGTGGTACTGCAGCTGCCACGCATGAAAAAATGCATGCCTCGGCAATTTAGCTTCAGCTACTACTAGCTTGGATCTCTTTTGTATATAGCTGTTTGTTTGTTGTTGATTTTAAGCTTGGAAAAGCTCAAGGTTTTAGGCTTGGGAAAGCTGTGGCTAAAAGGCTCAGGGGCTGGCAGCTGGAACAAGAATCTGGCAGAAAAGCCATAAAAGGCAACAAAGCCTTGGAGAAGGCCAAAGGCTTGGAAAATGCAGATGGCTTGGAAAAGACTGAATCACCATTGGCCAGCAAGCTGCTCCATCTCTGGGCTTCTGGCAGCCTCTCTGCTGTCATGATCAGGGGGCTGGCAAACTTGGCTTTGCAAGATGGAGCAGATCACCCAGAATAGGTGAAACGGGCCCAATGTGAAAATTGGATAAAATTGGGGTGCCCAGCCAGGAAACTGCCACAGGCAGATCTTGAACAAGTTCTGCTCTGATGTGATGCTGCCTGAACCTTTTAACATCAAAGTGAAATGCATTGATCCCAAGACTTCCTTGGAAAAGGTTGAGCTTGCATCAGTGTACCTCCCCCACCTTCAGTTTGCACATCTTGGGGAACATTGTCCTGAGTTCTCCAAAGAAATTT